TGTGAAAATCCTTTCATATTCTTAAGAAAATGTCAAGGACATGACTTTTATGACCACCATGTAGTATTTGGTCATCTGCTTTGTTTGAGGTGACACCTTTAAATTCACAACCAAGCTCGATGCAAAATGGAATAATGAAAAACAAGTCAGCTGTATGTCAATAACATTAAAAACTTCAAAAAGGAAAATGAAGGCAGTTATCCAAGTGATATGGAAAAAAAAAAGTTTCAGAACAGTTTTCTGACAAAGTCATTCCATTGGTTTATTTTTTTAAGCTGTGGCTTCACATAAGAGTATCTTTTCACTATTTCCCAAGGTTTGTGGTATCAATGCTGAAACATTTTAAATTTTTTTAAACCTAAAACCTAAATAAATAAATAAATAAAACCTAATACGTGTTTCAACATAAAAGGTAATTTTTAAAATTTTTATTTGTATGAATATAACAAACTAAAATGCCAAGTCTTTTTTTTTCAATTAAGAAATTTCACAGGGCAGTAGAGCATGTGACTCTTGATTTTAGGGTCATGAGTTCGAGCACTATGCTGGCCATGGAGCCTACTTAAAACTAAAAAAAAAAAAAAAAAGATTTAAGAAATTTCACAGATGATGACTCAAAAAATCCTTGAGCAGGAGAGAAGGATGAAATCCAGAGTACAAGGGGCAGAGTTCTTTCTGATAGGAGTGTTCTCTGTTTTCCACTGAAACAAAAAAGATGCAAGAGCAAATGAGCACAGAAATGAACTTCTTAAGTTGAGGCATTCCCTGCAGATGGTTTCCAGTTTCTCAAGTATGATGCAAGTTCACCAGCTGAAAATGGGGACAGGTAGGGGGAAAAGGATGTGAAAGATTTGAGTAGAGAAGCCAAGGTGTGAATGGTTAATCCAGTGAACGAATAGTTTTGCCAGCCAGTATGAAGTGCTCCCATGAGGTCTGAGGTCATGAATTAAAACCAGTCAGCCCTGTCATATGATTTTTCTATAGCAATCTTTGCTACTTGGATACCAGCAATGGAATGGAAAAGTTTGTTTCAGTAGGGTTCAGTCCAAACAAGACTAAGGTTCTACCTGGAGGTTCCTCCAAGTAAGAAAGAGACATTGGGGTAAGAGAATTGAAAATGTCTGCAAAAGAGCAATTACAAGGATTAATTGAGGAATCTAAGTTGGATGAATTGGAAGTGTTTATGTCAGAATCATATTAATAGTTTTTTTTAAGTGTTGGGCTTAATGGATTGGAGGTGTTAATAGTTCAGTGAGAGTATAATAAATGAGCTGAGGAAAAAGGCTAGTGATTGACAATGGGGATGCTTGAAATTGAGATTTAGAAGGCAAAACAGTTATTGATGACAACGTTCAAAGTCTCAGCACTTGGAGTGGATGGATGATATGGAATAGAGGAACAAGTTGTTGGAGATGAAGAGGTAAAAAATCTAAAAGGCCAAGTGCTAAGGGTGCCTGGCTGTCTCAGTTGGAAGAACATGTGACTTTTGATCTCAGGGTTCATTAGTTTGAGCCCCATGTTGGGTGTAGAGATTACTTAAATAAATAAACTTTATTTCTTTTTTAAGATTTTATTTATTTATTTGACAGAGAGAGACACACAGCGAGAGAGGGAACACAAGCAGGGGGAGTGGGAGAGGGAGAAGCAGG